TTTTTTTCAAATACCAACACATCTTAATCCAACTGTGATTGACGCTCGTTCATCCTACCTTTCTCGTTCATGCCTTGAATGAGTTTATTAGCAAAGAAATAAAAAGGGTGAGAAAAAATCTTTCCAATGATACCTCACAAGTCTAATTCGGGATTGTTTAGGTTCAGTTATTCAAGTTCTTCTTATGCCAATCTTTGAAAAAAGTTTAAAAACAGCACCAAAAATCTCATTATTACGATTTCGTTAAAAATTAAAATTTTTTTAAAATATTTTTATGCAAATTTTTTAAACTTAAACCGTTTTGTCATTTTGGGATTTTTTTTATTATCGAAGAAACTAATTTTATTCATAAAAACCTCCATTTTTGGACGTATTTTCAAATCGGTTCAGCTCACGTAGATTTTAATATTTTTCCGCAATATTTTGGTGGACGTCTTAAAATATAATAGATTTTATAATTCCAATGGAAACACAGTACCGATGTTTTTTTTTTGTATGGGTAGTGATACAGTCTAATGTACACACATACATACATTTAACAGATACTTATGCATGTATGCATACTGCAGCAAAACAGTTGGATTTAATGGTGTACTCTATGTAAATGGCATGCATAGACAGAATCACATGAAAACAAATATAGAAATTGTACTTATGTATATGTAAATGTGTTTCCGTTTTACTGCATTCACTGCCCTAAAGATAAGTGGTTGACATCGGCCTATAGGCGTCCCTATGTCCTTTAAAGGCGGTACTAGTCTGCGTGAGTGAGTACAAAAACAGCGCTCATTTTATTAATAGCTTATCTTAAGTGGTCACCGATAGATACAGGGTACTTTTTAATAACTATGCAATAAAAGTTACTTGTTCGATCGCAGAGACACTAGATTCTGAGGCTCTGGCCAGGTCAGCACTAAAAGCTACCCACAAAGGATGATTTCGAAGTACTCTTTGATTAAATCGTTAAACATTTTTTATTGCAGGGTTGTCACTCATTCACTGGCGGCGCAAGGCGAGGATTCAGACAGAACATGAGGACGAAGACTGGCAGTGGCGGCTGTTGAAGATGACGACACATACTACATAAAGACGCATACAAATATGTATGCGTATACAATTTGAATGTCTCAATTGGAGCAATGATTTCCTTGACACACGCGCAAACACACACACACATACAGATAACATTGCAACGTACCGCACCTCCTCGCACAGCAGCATTAAAACCTACCCGTTGCGCTTACTTTCGTGCGTGACGACTTTATGCACTTTTCCACATCTTTTCACATTAGCAGCTATTAAATATTGACTTTTTCATTTCACCAAACACTAAACGTAGTATTAGCGATACATAATTTATGTGCGAAAAACTTTGATTTTGCAATATTTCTGTTTATTGATTGCAAACAAAACGCCTGGCAGCCAAGCCTGTAGAGCCCGTATAATTATATGTCAACGTTGTTGGTTGGTCTACGACCGTCTGGCATTAGGAGATATTTCTAAATACTTATATTTGTATACAATGCACAATAGTATCCTTGTTGTCCGCAAGGATGTCCGGTTCGGTTTGCTCAGAGCGACGCCGACTATTTGCAACCTCAACCCGCTCATTGTTGATAAAAGAGTACATATATGAGCGTGAGTATGGCGAATGCATGCGAATGTGGTGAAATCTGTGTGCGGTAAGTACCCTGTCGCGAAAGTGTAAACATACAGGTACCAAGATACATATTAGATAGGTAATGTAATACTAAAATTTTATTTTTCTTCTTCTTGGTTGGTTTTACAGCCGTTCGTCGGTTTGGGCCAAGGGCAAAAAGCTACGTCAATTGCCCCCCTCCATTTCAAAGTTTCACAGTTGTACATCATAACGAGTTCAGACACGCCCCTGTCCTTCTACACTTGGTGCTTCCATTTTGTTCGTTGTCCACCAATGGGTGCCGGATCGAAGGGTGTTTTCACCTCGATATCCATGCGGACAACTTGTACAAGTTAGCGCAGCCGTCGCTTTCTTGTGATTTCTTAGCTGTGTTCACAGCTCGTACGTTCGTCGTTCCATCTTCTAGGGTAATCATCGCCTACGCGAACAGCGCCTTAGGTCTTGCGTAGGCTAGTCCTCTCGACAGAACCCAAAGCCGCCTCACCTTTGTTAGACATCTTCCATGTTAATGTTCTGTACAAGGGCTCTGCTTTTCAATTGGCCCCGAGCCCACCTGCGCCTGTGTTATTCTTTGCCTGATAACGATTTTTACTCCATCTAAATTACGTTCTTTTATGGCACGGTAGGTTCTACGACTTTTTGTGACAACATCAGGGCGCACACCACAAATCGGAGGAGAATCTCGGCCAAACATTAACATATGGGATGCCAACCATTAAATTCAAGTCATACATTGGTGCCAACGGAACCAATTGCACACAGCCCTGAAGAGCGTTTAAATCGCAGGACTTCGTGGAGCTTGAAGCAGACATACCGTGAAAAAATTATTCATAAAAATATCGCCGTCTCAGTTGAGATAAGGCTGGGTAGTCAAAGAGAAAGTGTTCAATATTCTCAATCACCTCTTCGTCCTTACAACTCCGGCAGTCGTTCGTAAGAAAGCCTATTATATTGTTTTTATTTAATATGCATTCCAATTAAGCAGTGACTAGTCATGAGTCCAAAAACTAGCCTAAGTCAGAGGCAGTCCACGAGCAGAGAAGGCTCCGACCTATCACCTCAGGCGACTATAGCCTATGGCGATGTGTCAAGCTATGCAAGAAGTTGGAAATGGTAATCGTGTATGTAAAATTTAAACCTGAGGCTACGTAATCGTTAAATTTGTTTTTCCTTAAAAGTTTTACAATAAATCGTTTAAAATTAAAATAAAAATGTCAAACAAAAGCGAGTCTCTCTTTCAAGCCTCACCTTCTATAACGAACTAAGCCATTATCCAGTAACACGGAACCTTCGGTACCCAATAAAATTTTTACATGAAGGAGAAATTTCTCTTATTAAAGCCGAAACACACCAGTTTCTGGTTTCCATGGTTTCAATTTTTTAAACCATTTTCGAATGTTCATTATCATTACTTTCGCCATAATGTTTACTGGGTTGTATAAAATACATACGTATGTATGTATAGACTGTCACTAACATTAAAAGTTGGTTACTAAAGTTGAAAACAAACCATTTTCTACCCACTGTTATTTTCCCCCGCAGAAATATGAATGAATGAACCAAATTTACCACTACAAACGAACGCCACTTGCCATATTTCTCTCACAATCACTACTGAGCGCGCTCATACTACACAAAAGGTGGTGAGTTTGCGCTTTCGAAAGTGCTAATTGTAAAAATTGCAGACACTGCAAGATACGAATTGTTTTTTTTTTCTATTTGTTTTGGTTTGGCATTCGTTTTTGTTGTTTCATTTGCATTTATTGCAGTAAACAAATTATTAAATTGTTTACTTTCTCCGTTGCGCACGCACGATGAGCAATGACTCGCGTAACTTCACAAGATATTAATTACAGTAGACGCCCAATATAACGAACTTTTGGTATAGCAAATTTTAATGCAACGCTGAATTAAGCATCTATCCCAGCTTGCGATGAGATTTTAGCCGGTGCTTAGAAGGCTGAACTTAAATTCAAGTCGGCAGATTGAGACAAAAAATTGAAGGCAAAATTGATGATAAAGGCGAAAATGAAAACAATTAGCAATACATAAGAGTTAGGGTAACTGAAAGGGTAAGCAAATTTATTGAAATTTTACGATACAAATCTAAATAAATTCAGTTATAAAGAGTTTAGTTATTGAAAGTAATCAAGTTACCGCAATTTATCGATACATCAAAGTTTTTAGTTATCGAAATTTAACGAGTTTTGCATATTCATTGATTTATCGCAACGTATCGAATTATTCAAATTGATCAATGTTTCTTGAGTTGTCGAAATTTATAGGCACAAAAAATCAGTTGTCAAAAATTTACGGATAGTTATCGAGCTCTAAAATTCGATGGGATTATCGAAATTGTCAAATAAATGAAATTGTTCAGGTAATTGATATTTATTGAACTATCATTATTTATAGTTAATGAAATTTATTGAGTTATCGTAATGCGCCGAGTTTTTCAGCTTATCGAGTTATCGATATTTATTGATTTATTAAAATTTGTCGATTCATTGAACCGAAGTTTTTGGAATATTCAAAATATATCGAACTATCAAAATTTCAAGATTATATAAGTTTATCGACTTACCGCTGCTTATGGAGTTTTATCGTTTAACCAGAGTGTAATTAGTTATCGAAATATATCGATATCTTTCGGAAAATTTGGTGCAATCAGAATTAATCGAGTTGTCGAAGTTCATGTAGGTAACCAAAGTTTATTAAGCTATCGATATATATACATTTTTAAGTTATCGAAATTATTCGACCCCTCGAAACGCTCAGTTATTGAAATTTTTCAAAATATTGATTATTGTTGAGTAATCGGTTTTTAGAATTTTGATTTTCATTGAATTATTGGTAATTACGGAACTTTTTGGAGCCATTTAGATTTTTTGGTAAGTCACTTCTCTTTTTTGTACAATTGAAAAACTGCAATGACGGTCCAATGTACTAGAGATGTCAGTTTTCGAAAAACATCGATGCTCGGAGTTCTCATTGAAAATAAAACACGCATTTTTTTTATTTAAATTTAATTATTAATAAATGCAACTTGTTTATTTAATATCTACCTTTAAATGCGTTACACTTTCATTATATTGTAAATACCTACATACATAAACTTACATATTTCTCGTTGTTTTCTCTAACCAGTTGTTGTAGCGCTGTTTGGCAGCCTACGAGTACTTGATATTGAATTTAAACAATTCAATAAATGCGCAGTTTCAAAAGTAACATTATTTTATGAAACTTAGTGCTTTAATAGCATCTACATACATACATATAACTTTGAGTGATTATTAATTTTTTTTTTTACTTACATATGTATTTACAAATTATGCTTTATTTAGTATTTCCAAGTATTTATTTAAATTATCAACAAGTTATTTTTTCACCAAATTAGGGGTGCTTTTAAAGGTTTGGAAATTTTTAAAAGTGGCAATTCAAATGATGGTTATTTTGTTTAGGTTTTCGACTATTTACTTGATATGTTTAATAATTATTTACGAGTTTTTTTATTTTTGAATTTAAACTTAAAATGCAGTAGCTTATTTCTAAAAGTATATACTTTTAAATTAAAGTGGCAATGAAAAAATGAAAGTGAAAATGAGTAATAATAAATAGTTTCAATTAATGTATTAGAGCACAGATGCAATTGCCAAACATCACTGAGTCGAAGAAGTATTCGTGCTTCTATGAGGAGTACTAAGGACTCCCTAGTATTGCTATGTGTATTTATTCATTTACTAGCTGCTGATTTTATTTATTTTTGTTTGCATCCTCCTCGCCAGCAAGGCGGCAATTGCTTCGAAGTAATTAAACGTAATGATTAGACATACATAGATTTATGAATAGAATAAATAAGCTTAAGAACTAATTTTAGGCGCATGGAAAATCAAAATCGTTGTCGTTATCCGGCAGTATGTTAATGCGGCGCGCCTGAAATAGGCACAGAGCTACAAATTTTCGACCACACTTGCGAAAAAACGCCGCCAAAAACTCGTCTTCCCCTTTGCGTAAGGATTTCCAAAATTAATCCCTCATTTCGGGACTATGTTCATCGTTGTTATTCTTCAATTTCGTATGCATGGCTCTACCATAAAGGCATTGGACGATGTCTGGTAAGGTAATTAGACAAACTGTTGCTATTGGGTGCAGGACATCCTAAGAGAAATAAGCAAAAAAATAAAATAAAAACATATTTCATTAAGTTCCTTTTCATCCTAGATTTCCAAGCCATTTTTCAAACTTACTACAAACGGAGCATGTCTGCTCATCGGTTCCATCACCGCAGCCATCTCTGCCCGAACAAACAATCGCCGTCGAGCGGCAGCGGCCATTGCTGCAACGATGAGGGCAATAGGCGTCCTCGTTCTCCAGCAGGCCACCGGCATTCAGCAGACGCAGGAAGAAAGTAGGCATCGAACGTGACCCGCACAAATGTGGTGGCTCATCGCTGCCATCGCGGCAAGAAATGATCGCATTGCAGTATTCATATTCGGGCAGGCATTCGCCACTCTTGCAACGGAAAGTGTGTGGCGGACATTCGCCCGCCCTCAGTGCGTTACAACCCAACTCATCCTCACCATGCGGGCACTGTTTGCGTCCATCACAACGTGCGGCACGTGAAATGCAGCGACCGCTGCGCTCACATTGAAAAGCTTCTACTGGGCAGGTTTGATTCAAGCGGGCATTGAACGTGCACTCTTCGTCTGAGTCATCGTTGCAGTCCGGTCGGCCGTCGCACACAAAGAACCACGATATACAAACGCCCGACGAACGACACTGCGGTATGGTGAAACAACGATTTGTATTAGAAGTGTGAAATGTGCAACAAAAAGAAAAAAAAAATTACAAAAAGTACCTGGAAAGTTCCGGGTGCGCAACCCGTTCGCTGTGCGCTACATTGCACTTCCGCTGCCGCTGCCGGCTCAGCCAAGTTGCAATCGCAAACACCACGAGCATTGCAAACTGCATTTGGATCGGCCAACTGACATTGTCGGTCGTTCATGCACGCAAGTCCAAGTGAAACTGCCTCCGTGCCCAATTCGACACGTTTACGTATTTCTGCGCCGAAAGAAAGTTGTAAAAATAAATGGTTTTCAATATAAATGACAGTGGCAGCCACTTACCTGTGATTGGTTTGGCTGTCAGCACATTTTCTGTACCAGGCAACTCCTTTACGGGTTCTGGTGTGGCCTCGCTTTCTGGCGTTGTCTCTGTCATCAGTGGCTTAAGTGTGGTAGCTATAGGCGCTGCCGGTTCCATCAGCGTCACTCGACTTGCCAAGCCCAACATAGTCTGCGTAGTGATTTCCGTAATATCATCAGGCGTTGCTGTGGCCTCCTCATTACGTGTGACATCCGGCGCTCCGGCGCCAGAAGCTTCCTCTTCATCTTCTGCCTGCGCCGCGGCTGGTACTGTGGTGCTCTCCAGCACCAAACTATCCGATTCCAATTCTTGTGGTTGTATATCGTCAAGCGACGTTAAATCGAAAGGCAACTCTTCGGGCGATAAAGTGTGATCCGTTACTTCAAATTCCTCATTTCCTTGAGTGCTGATATCAGCTGATACCACTGGCAAGCGCGTGGTTTGCTCTGCTTCGGCTTCATTCTGTGCTTCAATGTGATTGTGTGCATGCTCACTCAAGTCCTCGACTTCTGGATAGAATGTTATCAGCTTGTCATTGCCACCATTTTCTTTTTGTGCTTCCGTTGTTTCCGCGTTTGGTGTCTGTTCGGCTAGTTTCTCCTCGGCCACATTCGTATCCGCTGCAACCAAATCTGGCACATGTTCCGCTGCTTGCGCTGGCTGTGTGATAATACTTTCTACTCCTTGTGTGTTAACGTCTTCTTTCGAACGAACACCTTCCACTTCTGTGACAGACTCCAATGGTGTGATTGTAGTCACGTCCTCAGACATCAAATCACTCAGTATGTCGGCGATTGATTCATTTTCCTCAAATGATTCGTTGTCAATATCCGTATGCTCGACGATGTGGTGCTGTTCATTGGTGTTCTCTTGCGGCTTTTGCTGTGCGCTGTTAAGCATTTCGAAGCTGTCGAAATTGGGATAGTCCGTATCTGATAAGGAGGCGGTAGCATCTTTATTTACATTTTCGTCAAGCGAAAGTTCCACTGAAGTCTCCGAAAGGTTTGCAGCTTCTTCATTTGAATCAATAGAATTGTCGGCTTCAACTGGATCGGTTTGTTCAACGTGGTTAGTGTGTTCAGTTTGACTATCTGGCTCCAGCAAATCGGTTTCGACGATATTGTTGGCTTCTTCGAACTGATTTGGATCTTCTATAGGCTTGCTCTCGTCAATGGTGCTTTCCGACACTGCAATGCCAGGTATTGTATCCTCCACCGGGTTTGTCTGAACAGTCGATCCACCATCTTCAACGCCACTTATCTGTTCATTTTCACTGTCCAAATTTAACGGAGTCTCCTGCACTGGTGACTCCTTCTCGCTACCAACATCTTGTAGAATTGCGTTATCCTGTTCCGTAAGCATATCCTCTTCATTGTCTCCGACAGGCTTACTTCCCAAATCTTCACCACTCAAAACGAAACGCTCCGTATGAGCTTCACTTTCTGCAATTTGATTGTCGTTTTCGTTCACATCTGCAATGTCAGGCTCCGCCTGCACTACGGGACCATTTTCGTGTATACCATCAGTCTCAGTCTCAGATTCAGTCTCTTGGATTAACGGCACTGCTGTTGTTGCAATCGTTTCTTCGACTACCGCCTCTTCGACCACTTGGTCTTCTACGTGCTCGCTGTTGATTGGCTGAGCTGGCTCAGTTTGCGCAACTATTTGCTCGGCGGCACCCAATTGCTGTGGCGCCTCCTGCACCTCTATTTGATCAGCCTGCGCCCCATTTGTCACTTGTTCGGCTTCATTTATTATGCCATGCGAAAGTTCTTCATTCTCAATCTGCTGCTGCACTAGTTCACTGGCCGCCACATCGCTGTCAGCCGCAACAGTTTCCTCAGTCACAACTCCAACCGAACCGGCAACGTCTTCCTCCCCAGTATTCTGCTCTACAGTCTGCTGCTTGTCGGTCTCGTCCTCTAAATTGTCCCCACTAGCTGGCGCATCGAGTTGCCCAGCGGCAATTGCGCCATCATTTGTGGCCGGCTGGGTTTCGTTCACGGTTTGCGCAACGTCACTTGATTGTGGCTTCAAGCCCTCAGGTGCGTAAGCGATTTCTGG